GGAGCTTTGCACGGGGCCGTAACGCGTGGGCGCAGGGTGCGAGGGGACGCGGGGCAAGGAGGGTGCGCACAGCCCCCCCGGGGCGATGCGGGCGCCCGGTGGAAGGTGCCTCCTCGTGCTGGTGGGCCGCGTGGAGAATGGGGAGCTAGCGAAAACCAAGGGGGTGCGGTAGTTCACGGTGTGCCTGCGGGAGTCTAAGATACTGACTGCGAGGAAGCGAGGTTATCTCGGAGCAGATACCTTCAGTTACTTAACTGTCTTCTTGGTTTTCTCAAATTTTGTTTAAATGCCTCATTTTTAACTTACTCTTTTTCTGGTTTCAGACTAGAAATATTTATTGAAATTAACCTACTTAATTCTTACAGTGTAATCTGGACTGGGATATTAGCGTGCTGACTGACAAGCAATTTCAGGTGAAGTGCAAACAGCGGCACTTCACTCTCGAAAATATTAAACGCTAAACATGCTTTTTTTTTCTTGTGACTCTTGTCCCGTAACTGCCCGTTCGTGTCAGACACACTGACATTGTGGTAGGTACTCGGAGGAATGTGTTTTCCAGCAGTTTGAGGGAAAGTCTGCCTTAAGTTGAATGCAGCTAGCTGTACAGAACTGCAGCTCTGAAAAGCTGCATTTTTATCTCCTCTGGTAGTATTAATTTATTTTAAAATTCTGAGAAAACCAAAGCAAAATGGCAAAAAACCCCAAAATAAATTAGAAGGTAATAGTAAAAGGCTGTTAGTATTTCTGCTACTTGTGGCTTGGAAATGATGACCTCCTGAGTAGATGTTATAGGATTGAGAGGGTTGGAAAAGAGCCATTGCTTGATGTACCTCTTTGTTGTAGAGAGGAAATCATGGTTATGCTGAAGATTTCGTCTTTCCTTGCTGTTTATGCCTTGGTTGTGTGCCAGATGGATAGCTTCCAGGCAGCCCCAGTCAGGTAAGGAGCTGAGTGCTCTATCTGAATGGTATGAAAATATTTAATATACTTGAGACGTCTAGGAGGGACATAGACTACAGTGAATGAGAAAGCTGGCTGCTGCCGGTGCTGCGTCTGACACCCGTGGCTTTTTAATTACTTATCTAAAACACCTAATGCTGTGCGCGAGGACGGGTTACATATTCGCACCCGTGAAAGATGCTGTCTGTGACGTGCAGTATTGCGTGACAAACCCTCCTGTGCGTGGCTCTCTGCAGCGATCTGGGGTTTATTTATCCTGTTGTGCTTTGCTCTGCCTAGACCTGGCTTGGAGTCCATAACAGATCGAGTGACGCTCAGTGATTACGAAGCTTGGAGGTTATTAAATGCGCTGGTGAAAGAGTTCGTACAGATGACAGCAGAAGAGCTGGACCCAGCCTCGGAGGGGAACAGGTAAGGACTGCAGCCCTGGGGCAGAAGGATGATGGGGAAGGGTTATGTGTTTGATATTTAGCAAAAGCCACCTGAGCAGACTTTCTGCAGGTGAAGATTTCCTCCTTTTCTTGGGGTTATGACTAACTGGTCACCTAACTGGTAAAGGATGATACTGCAGAGACATCCCGATGTTGCTATCGGGAGAATGGCTTCCACCTAGTTAATGTGCTTCTTATCTGTCTTTTACAACTGAAAGTGGAGGGCGATTTGAGCTTGAATGAGGGGGTTGTGTTAATATGGCCACAAAAGGTATGTCTTCCTAGTGGGATGTTAGGGGCCATTCAGTCACTCTTGGATTCTCTGTCGTGAAAGTGCATGCTGTTGTAAGGCATGGAAGGTCCCTGGCAGAGGGGACGTGTTCCTCCTAATGCACGTAGTGCCACTCCCCCATAGACCAAAGGCATGCAAGAGCATTTGTGTTATCCTAACAGGATTTGTATTGCAGAGCATGGGACTGAACAGCATGCTGAATACACGGGAAGTAAAGCTTCCTGACCCCTAACTATGAGCATCCAAAAGGCGAATGAACTTGCTTTTTTAACAAAGATGAATTCATTGAAAAACAGTGTTCTCCTTCTGACTGCATTTGTATGAATCTTCTTTGCATGGAATGTGATGTGGAAGGTTTTTTGTTCTGTTTTAATATTTAAGTTTCCCAACTGTAGATACTTATCTAGGGAAGAAATGCATGAACATGCATGTTTGAGTTTACTCTTCCTCTGGGCATGTTTTTTTTCCCCCCTGCAGCCTGGATAGACCTATTTCCAAACGCTGTGCCAGTCTGAGTACTTGTGTGCTGGGCAAACTGTCTCAAGAATTGCACAAATTGCAAACTTACCCTCGCACTGACGTCGGGGCTGGAACTCCTGGCAAGAAACGAAATGTGCAGAGTGACCTGGAACATGAACGCTATGCAAACTATGGGGAACCCCTAGGAAACAACTAGACGTGCTTATTTCTCCCCTCCTCCCTTTTTTAAAGCTGATGCATGTGGATCTAACTTTGATTGCTAACTTTGCTATGTTCTTTTGATTCTGTTTTCGACAGAGAATGTTTGAGATGGACCTAATGTTAGGAAGACAGAGAACATAACATGCATACCAAGCTAGGGGAAAAAAAATAAATACAAATGAATAGCACTACCTTGAGATTTCAGATGATTTTCTTAGAACATGATTAAAAAAAAACTAAAAAAGGCTTTTCATTTCTGTCTGCTAAATGTACAAGTAGACTCATCTTTCGTGCCTGCCCATGCACTTGTTCAATAAACCTATTTTTTCTATAAGGATTAGATTTGCTTGGTTTAATAACTTATTTTAGAATGTCAGTTTTCCAGATAAGACTAGAAAAATGTTACAACCTGCCTCAATGCTCGAGAGGTGATGACAGTAATTCTAGAGAAAGTTGAAAGAACTTAGAAATTGAAATTATACACATCCGTTTGTCAGTGCTGCTGTAGTCAGGTATGCATGCAATCCTGTTAGTAAGGATCCTGAGAAGCAAAGGAATCAGGAAAGGCTCATACAGATTTGTTCAAACAAATTAGAAATGTAATCCTGTTTAAAAGTGGGTACTGAACACTTCCAGGTAAGAATTTTGTGTTCTTTTCCTTTTTACCTTCTTACTTTACAATAGGTCTTTACACTAGTCTATTCATAACTTGGGTATCTTTAAAATATTTGTATTAATTCAAGACAATGTAAGTGGGTGAATTGTGAATTAAGGGACAACACCAGATTTCTTTACAGTTCTGTTGCAGCACTGTAACTATCTTGTAATTAGAGATCTGTTTCAAAAAAAAATGGCATTGATGTTACAAACAGTATTTGTTGTTAAGCATTACAAGACAGTTCATTAATGCTATCTGAGAAATTCCTCCTACTGCAAGAAAAAGTCACTGCTTTTAATCGAAAATTGCTTCAAGCAAGGACTGTGAATGCATATGCCTTGAAGTCCCCTGTCTAGCAAAATCATTAGCTGTAGGCTCAGCTCTGAGTGCAGAACGAATTCTGTTGAAGTCAGTGAACTATTCTCATTGTGAAGTGCTGTGCTAGACAGGGGGCTAACTCCAGGAAGGAGGGGTTCCTGCATTCCCATCAAGTACACAGAAGCAGTACGCTTGTGGATCAGCTCTCAAAAAACTGGTCAGCTGCTGCGCAGGTAAAGCCCCATCAGATTCACCGACAAAACTCTTGTACTTGGCAGTGACACTGGGATTTCATGTGCTTACTGGGTATTATGGAGCATAGGTGTTGAAGTTAGAGATCAGCATCTGCTGCTGTCTTTCAGCAGCCCTGCAAACAAAACATGGAGCTAAGCTGTTGGAGGAAGGTGGGAGTTGGGTAAATGCTCCAGAGCTGGACCCCCTCAGCACCTGACTTACTGGAGGCAGGCAACGGCTCAGCTGTTGCTGGAAACGTGGCTTGGCTTAGTCTTCACTCCCAACTGTTCAAGAAAGGAAGGTGTTAGCCTCCTTTTGTAAACTGAGCCTGATGCTTAGAAAAACAAAGGAGTATCTTCTAGAGCTTGTAATCTGTGCAGACAAAAGTTGCAAATCCCGGCTGCACAGCAAACCTGCTTTTCCTTCTATAGAAGAATCTTCCCTAGGCATAGCATTCCTTAATGATGTTATTGTATGCAGGGCAGACACTCTTGGAACTAACTCTATTTTCCTTTTGAAAAGCAGCGTAACAGCCCAGAAGAGGGCATGCAACACAGCAACCTGCGTGACCCATCGTCTGGCAGACTTCCTGAGCAGGTCAGGAGGAGTGGGCAAGAACAACTTCGTGCCAACCAACGTGGGATCCAAGGCCTTTGGCAGGCGAAGAAGAAGCCTTCAAATATAAGAAACTGAATGACAATGTGAATGGTAAATACCTTGCAATAAAGAAAAATCTGCAATGCAGGCAACCTGTGCCATTATCAGAACTTTGGTTTTGCTGGATGAATAACAAACCTGCAGTGATAATCTGCGAGAAAGCAGGGCAAGTAACAAAAGATGTTCCGATTATAACAGTAGCATGTTGAGACTATGAAGAAGAGCACTTGCAGATGTTCTGCTTGGATAACTAGCTTCACAGTGCATTAACTAAACACAGTGGTCTGGTTGGAATTATTTGCTTATTTTACCAATAACATTTAATTGTCAACAAATTAGTAACTCTGGATTTGTTTCTTTCAGATTGCCATGAAATGGAAAGTTCAACTTTAATTTATAACAGAAGCAACTCTTCTCCATAAACCAAGATGGCCAAAAAGAAGATTAATTTTGCATCCTAATATTGAAAATGTTTTATTTCATACAAATGAAAACATTTCTGTTATGTATAGTACAAGAGAATCTAGTTATTAAAATTAAATTATTGTATATTCTTTTTATATGCAACTATATTTCAAATAAAATGTGACAGCATCTATTATTTATTTATCTTCCAGCTTATATGTGATCCATGCTACTTATCCTGGCATTACTGCCAAAACTCGGGGATTATACAAAACTGCTGCCTGGCAAGGCATATGTATATTACACAGCGTGCTGTGCCTTGATGTAAAACACTTAACTAACCTGATTGTACAGTATGTTTGAAGGAAAAAAAAAAAAAAACCCACCAAACCCACACTTCAATATTTTATCATTTGTGAATTTACGCAGAATTAAAAAAAGTATTTTAGATACACTTGGAATGAGAAACTGATTTTTCATTTGAACACAGTCACAGAAATGTCTGGCGCTAACCCAACATCATTGCAGATCAGATGGCCCATTGATCTGTGACAGCCTCATTAACTATAAATACCAGCATCTGAGTCGAAGGGTCAGAACAGAAGGAAACCTGCCTTGCTATGTATTCATAAAGCAGTAGCTCAGAAAGACACCACTTAGTGAGACTTCTGCCAGAGAAATAAAAAGAAGCCACAGTTCTGTTTAATAAAACCATAGAGACAAACTTTGTTGTGTGTGGGCCACGGCTAAGTTCTTTCTGCAGGATGTAGTTCAGATGAAGTGACCTAACATGCTTTGCAGGTCTTTGAGGTCGAAAAAGTGAATTAGAAAGGGAGAGGAAAAGGAGCTGCGGAAATGTACATTTCTTTTAAGCAATCCTGAGGCAGAGTCTATTTAGGGATCAAGGATAAATAATTAGAGTGAGTGCAGAAGAGGGTAGTTGGAAGCGGTCCATGGACTTCTAAGTGGTGCTGCCAACTTCCTCCTCAAAGCTGCTGCTGTTTCAGTTTAGTAGCTGAGTCAGATATTTGTTTAGATTTGTTTTGTGCTCTATAGCCAGGCTCTAAAATCTGCTTCATCAGTTCAGATCACCTCGCCGTGCAAAGTAGAGGTGAAGGCTCTCATGATCTCTCTGTCTGTCTCTGCTGCAGGTGTTATAGCAGAAAGAGAAGCATGGCCAGCCAGATGTAGACATGGCCAGTAAGGCCATCGAGTGACGGCACTGCTATACCATGCTACACCATTCATGGCTGTGGTTTTATTCCCTGGGGAACATTTCAGCCCTGGTAAGTCAGAGTACAAACCAGACCTTGTAGAAGATATAAGCCAGTTTAGAGGGAAAAGTCCCAGTGCTTACATGGACAAAGGAGGGTTCTTCAGGCTTGGCCTGCAAATCTGTTGCCCTGAGATAGTCCAGAGCTTTTATTCCATTTTCCTCTGGAGTATCTGAGACTGGCTGCAACTGGGTGTACTATACCCACACAATGAAGTGCAGCCCTACGGTTCAGGTATTTTTCCCCATTTTCCTTTGCAAAAAGTGGGGGCCGAATGCTGAGATGCCTGGCTACCTCAATAACACCATTCCCTGTGACTGCAGAGTCTCTGGGCAAAGGTGGCAGGTTGTCTTTTGTTCCCTCCTGCATCTCTCAAGAGTTTAATCTTCTCCAAGATAAAATCCCTAAGCACAGTTATTGGGATGAATACGTGTAATTTAATAACTCATATTCAGTAAGAAGCCAGGCAATGTTCAGGTGCCCCTTCTGTATTTAAAGTCTGAATGTTCAGGCATTTTTCCATTCTTCAATTCTCTGCTGAGAGACACCCGAGGCTGCTTCATGTAATGGTACAACAGCCTTAGTGTCCATCTCTTCTAGAAACTATTAGCCTTTCTTTTCAGTTTAACAAAGTTATGCATGTTTTGTCAGCCAAAAGGGTTTTCCTCAGTCCAATATTCTATACCAAATGACAAACCTAACATGTAAAACACTAACAGCGGTGCTGGTTTCTACATTGTCCAGGTTGGATGGATTGAAACAAGACAAAACTAGAGGTGTAAACACTAATACTTTATTTTTTTAAATTCTAAGGCAGTGAACACGGTAAAAGAAATTGCAGAGTCACTCAAAGCTTGTCAGTTATTTGACTTTGTGAACAAGTGAAAGAAATTGCTTCCATTTTTTAAAAGTGCTGCTCTTGATAATGTTACCCAAAAGTGTCAGCTCTTAAATAAACCCCAGACTTCTAACCCAGGAGAAAATCTATTTTGGAATTAACATTTAATAAGGGAAAGTATGGTTTCTAATGTACTTACCTTTCCATTTTAATTACATTGCCATTCTACGCATGATGAAAGCTGGCAGAAAATAGAACGTTGTTGCAGTATGTGTGAGTGGCATCAAACCCCAGTTACTTAGTGTTGGGTCAGCCAGGACAATACAGATCAGTCATGCAGAGGTGTTTGTGTTCTTGTCTATGAGGCAGTACCATCATGCCTATAGTTTGGTTGTGATGTTTTTAGATGCTTGTCAGTGTGTGTTTTCTTAAACAAACAGGTTGTTTTTTTAAGCTGTGTGCAGATGAAAGCTTTGGGGGTGTACTTTGCAAGTAAAGGCAAAGGGGGAAGAAATTCTTTATAAAGAAATATGTGAGGATAATTTATTGTAGACTGTCTTCATGTCATTATAGAGTTCTTGGGCTTTAATTTTGCAGATTATTTTGGAGTGGTTTGGTTTTCCAGAACAAATAGGGACACAAACACCATGTGGGCCCAGGAAAGGTTTTGAATTTTGACCAGCCCCCGACTCTGAGCTGATGGGAAATAGAAAAACACCATCTTCTGGCCAGGGAATAAGCATAGTGAGGGCACCCAAAGATCCATCTCAGATGAGGCATTTATCTACTTGCTCCTGCTTTTGTCATGCTGGTGGGTGCAGCTTCCAGCTGGACATGGGGTGGAAGAGCAGGGGCAGCCACTTGGCCTAGTGCCATGAGGCAAGCTCACCTGCTCATCTCCTGGAGCGGGCTGCGGGGATGAGGATGCACAGGAGGGTGTTGTGGCCTCCTCAGTGTGTCACGGGCCCCCAGGGCCAATGTGGAGGACTCTGGCACCCCATGGGGTATCAGGCAGGTGAGAAACAACTGCCGGGGGGACCAGGTGATGGATAACAGAGGAGCACATGCCAACACATGGCCCCATGGACCTCGGCAGCTGCCAGAACAGAGCTGCAGGAGATGTTCAGCTGACCATTTTTTTGCCAGGGGACAGGCTGGCCTCCTGCTCCAAGATCTGACTGAGTTTTGATTCAGAATCATGCACCAGGACATCACTGTGTGTATTGGTAGAATATCATTTTGAAATAACCCAAGTGGACTTTCGCTATGGCTCTCTCCAGATATTTAGATCCCTTTTTATTCCTTCTGTTAGTGGAATTTAATTCATCTTCCTGAAAGCTTCCATCATCTGCAGTGTGAGAAAGGAGCAGAGCTAATGCTATTGCTTCTGACACTGAACACTGCCAAAAGCAACTTAGAGCAGGCAGTAGTAAATTTTGGTATTGGTTATCTAATTCAGCATTGTCATGTCTAATTAGCGGATTGAGCATCTCTACAAGGTGAAGAGTTTAAAACGTGCTGGAGAATATGGGTCTGTGCATTTTTCTAGACAACTGTTTCAGAACAGGAGAATACCTGTTAGAGATGAACTGGGCATCACAAGCCTGATTTCATCCATGTTGAGCACTGGCAACTTCTTTCCAAGCTGGCCATGCTCACTGCTTTGGACAACCAGGTGAACCCTGCTCCAGCTGCTGGAAGGGGTCCCCATGGTTCATACATTTGCTGGCTGTTTACTGTTCTAAAAGGCATCACAGCCTTCCCCTATTCTGCACAGGATTGCCCTCTATTTCGGATGTTCCTTATGGCTTTTTAAAGTTTTTCTCTTCTGCAGAAAGCATCTGAGGGGTAGAGTACCTTTTTTTCCTCCAGAAAGTAAATAATGCCTATTTCTAAATTATGCCAAACATTGTAATACTTTCTGTTCCATTCTTGGATTAATGGATTTCTGATCCATTCTTGGAGTAATAAGGATCATTGCAACATTTCTCTTTTCTATTCTTGGCTTTATCACAATTCTTGTTTGCACCAATTGCTATTTTGGCTGGGGCTGAGGCATGATCCCAGCTAACTTACTAGTGTCACCGCCTCAAAAGCAGATGTTGCCTTTAAAAGTCTGAATGTGTACCTCTGGGCAGTCTGGTTTTTCCCCCTGATGTGTGAGAAAATACTCATAAATCCCACTTAGTACTTCATCACACTCATATTGTCTGTCCACAAAAGATGATTACACTCCTGCTGGTTTGGCTTTTCCATTTACTTCTGGTGTTGTGTCACATTTCTGCTTCTTTTCAATGGCTTTTCTTGTCACATTAGCATATGAGGTAATTTAACATTGCATTCAAGCAAGAAATCCCCTTGATTTTTCAATTCCTCTTTGGGAGTCTGCAAGGCAGTCTTCTCTGAGGAGGCCACGTGGCAAGGAGTGTGGTTGTCTGCGGGTGACAGTCATGTCTGTAGAGACACAGGTACACAACAATCTTGAGTAACGCCTACCAGGGTTGTCTTTACTAAGTTCTCCCAAGATGAGGGAGCAAAACAAACGCAAGCGCTTGAGATGCCAGCAGCTAAGCTATAGAAAGGGAATTGCCTCGGGATGAAGCAAAGGAGAGGAAGCAATGAAGGCTTTAAACACTAAACAATTTGTGTAATTGCAAAGTGCTGGATGCAGCAAGCAGCGGAGTTTGGGAACTGCCTGCCAGACAGCCCAGGCAATTCCCTCAGAGGCCACAGTTCACATTAGAGCACAGGAAGGGGGAGAGGACAGTTGGATTACTGTTTTCCTCACATTACCTTGTTTTTCTTACCATGGTGGTTAGTCTCCAGCAGTAGTGCAGTGTTGCTGGCGTTCTCTTACCTCCAGGTCCCCTGTCAGTGGGGTCAGAAGGGTTGTGTGTGCTCAGTGCTAGGGGCTGGCAGGGTGGTTTAGGGCAGGTTGCTTCGCAGCTCCACGGTGAAGGAAGGTGGATGAAGAACTTCTGTTTCTCCAGACGGGAGCCTCTGCCTTGCCCTGTGGCCAAGGTGTTTCCTCTTGGCCCTTGGGGAGAGAGGTGGGTCATAGCTGCTTCCCACTGCGTGACCTGCCGTGTCTCCAGAGGTGCCAGCGCTGTCACAGCAGAAGTGTAGCTCAGTGTTGCCTCGCTGCCTCTTGCCAGCAGCTGTGGTCCAGGGTGTTGGGCATGCTGGAGGGGCCTCCTCCTCCTCTCCCACGGCTGCTGGAAACAGCCCATGGACCCTGACTGTCCCCATCCTGGTAGGTCCCACTGACTTGTATTTGTTACACAACCAGCTGTCTTCCTGTATGGCTTTGCTGCAAGTCATAAATCATAAGGAACACTTCTC